GGGGTCGGCCCTGTCGGGGCCCCCCCTTTTCACGGTTGTTTCTAGGCCTCTTTCCCCACTCCATGAGTTTTAAAAACCTCGTTTTAAAAACTGTGTTGGTTCCTGCCTCACTAGTCATTTTTAGGCTATTCCACCCCCTTAAATTATGACTGAAGAAATACTTCCTATATTTTTGACTCATTTGGTCTTCAATTTCCCAATTTGGGGCCTCTTGTTTCTGTGCCTCTTGGGAAACACCCTGTTTTTTTTCCCATTGTCTTTTCTGCAGTTTTTTATATGTCGTTTCATGCCCCCCCCTGCCCTCCGTCTCCAGTGTTCGGGCCGATTTCTCTTAATTTTCTTTTAGGACATTCCCCTTTAGCTTGGATTTCTTGTCGCAAACCTTTGTCTTTCCTAGTTTCTTAGTGTTTATCAAGTGCGGGTTCAAAAGGTGCTGCATACTCCAGTATGGGCCTGAAACAGGGTACGTGTTTAAATGTTTCCCTTTTCAAAGGTATCGAATGTTTTGTCGGTTTTGGCCAGGCGCCTTGCTGCAGCAGTTATTGATTGATGTGTGCTTCCGGAGCATGCTCGGTGTTTTAAACTCCCCCCAAGATCTTTCCCCTTGGTGAGGTTTGCAGTTTTGGCCCCCTGCCTATACTTGTCTGTGGTTTCTGTGCCCTTCCCCTATCTTATGATTTGCATTTGGCGGGAAAAAAAATTCGAGAACCCTTTTGTGGCCGGTGCCCCGTCTGCCAGGTCTTTTAAAGCCCTCCCTGGTCCTCATCAGATTTAATTCTCTCTTTAAAACTTCAATCATCTGCAAACAGGGACACTTCTGAGTCAAAACCCTTCCGCCCATGTCGTTCACATATACCAAAAATAGCACTGGTCCTAGGACCGACCCCTGGGGGGACCCCGCTCGTACAGGTGCCATGTGATACATCATTACGTACCATGACTCGTTGTTGCCTCCCTGTCAGGTATTCTCTGATCCATTGCAGTGCCTTTCCTGTTATGCGCCTGATGCTCTAGCTTCTGCACTAATCTCTTGTGAGGAACTGTGTCAAAGGCCTTCTTGCAGTCCAAAAGATGCAATCAACCCACCCCTCTCTCGTGTTTTTACTTTGGTTTTTTTATCATAAAACTTCAGAAAGGGTTTGTGACACAGGATTTGCCTTCCCTGAATCCGTGCTGGTTGGCATTTTTACTCCTTTTCCGTTCCCGGTGCTCCACCATCTCCTCCTGATAATCTTCCATAATTTTGCATACTATACACGTCAATGACACAGGTCTATAGTTTAGTGCCTCTTTTTTTGTCTCCTTCTTTTAAAAATGGGAACTACATTTGCCGTCTTCCATACTCAGGTAGTTGCCCAGTTTCCCGGGATGTGTTTAAGATTGTGGTAAGTGGCACGCACAACATATCTGTTCCCTCTCTAAGGACCCACGGGGAGATGTTGTCCGGTCCCCTTGCCTTTGAGGTATCGATGTCCCTTAGCAGTTTCTTCACCTCCTCCTCATCTGTATGTATGTCGTCCAACACTTGTTGTGTATTCCCTTGTGGGT